AACGTTTTGATGTACGGGATCTTCAGGCAAGGCTCAACGCAGTTGAACCAGCGATTCAGTTTACACATAGAAGAAGAGTCCAATGACAAGCTACCTTTTCCTCGACGTCCTCATTCACAAAGTAGACAACAACCTAAGATTTCAAGTTTATCGGAAAACCCACCAATAAAAATGATCTCACACACTTCTATTCCAGTCAAGATACCAAGACCAAAAGAGGCATCATCATCGGGTTTTTCCTAAGAGCATACCGAATTTGTAGTCCTGAGTTTTCTTGACGAGGAATGATACTTACATTCACCAAACATTCACTGAGTTACAATTTCCTTCTTTTTTCATCAAAGACTGCAAGAAAAGAGCTCTTCAGATCATCAATTCTCCACGCCATCAACACCGCTCCCAACAAAGTCATAATTCTTCCCAACAGCCAGGTTGCACTAAACGTCTCAAAAGTACTTTCACAAGCTAACACCAGAGTCGCCATCGCTTCTACACTTCAATAAAGGATCTAACCAGGACAAAACCCAAGCACCACGAACCAGTCAATGCAGGAGTTTACACTATACCCTGTGGAGAGGCTGGTGACAAGATCTACGTAGGTGAAACAGCAAGAAACCTCGACACCCGCCTCAATGAAACACATATACGCATGTAGGAACGACAACTTAAACAACGCCTGTGTACAACACCGAAATTCCACCAATCATCTTATGAAATTCAGAGACGCCCAATTAGTGATAAAAGAAACTAATTTCCGCACACGCAAGTGCCTTGAATCAGCACTGATCGCTGTTTCGAATACAATTAAACAAAACAACGGCAGCTTCACCATCTCCGAAGTCTTAGCAAGAATCCTCCTGAAAACAGTAAACCCTGCCATCACATAGTCTCTCCTGTTTATACTACACAAAGCACAGAGAGTGAACACTGAAACAACCTGCCTCATTCCAGTCTATATTTGTCCAACCTATTTTTATGTTACCCAAGTAATAGCTTTTATATCCTTTTACTCATGTACGAATTAATTGCTCTACCATATTGTATTACTTTTGTCACTACCACTACTACTACTACTACTACTACTACTACCACTAGTGAACATCGAAATGGTACCTCACTAGTATTCACCTCACTCTGAGCCTTTATATACCCTCTGTGTCCATGTATTGTTTGTAATGGCTTGATAAAGCTCCTGGAGAGCGAAACGTTGCCACAATAAATGTCACATTAGTTGCACTTGTGTCCTTTTACTTTACATATTGTCGGTAATTCTACCAACTTTATTACAAGTCTGAAGTAACACATACAGAGTCTGTTTGGATAGAATTTTCAGAGGGGCATGAAAAATTAATTTTAGGTGTGATATACCGTCCCCCAAATTTAGATAGGGACCAGGGGAGACTACTATGGGAGGAAATTGTTAGGGCCACAAGGCACGATAATGTAGTAATTCTAGGAGACTTTAACTTTAGTCATATTGATTGGAATTTCTTGACTGGGAATTTAGAATCATACGATTTCTTAGAAGCAGTTCAGGATTGTTTTTTGAAGCAGTTTGTGACTGAGCCTACAAGGGGTAATAACCTGCTTGACTTAGTTCTGGCAAACAATGAATCCCTTGTTAATAATTTAGAAGTTTCAGAGGAAACTGGGTGCTAGCGACCACAAATCAATTACATTTAGCTTTGAATGGAAGTATGATAGTAGGAATAACTCAGTACAGTCCAGATTTTCGCTTAGCAGATTACGATGAGCTTAGAGAACACTTATCATCTGTTGACTGGGGTAACGAAGAGAGCTATCAATATGACAGTTTTCTGAACACTATAATGCTGCTCAAAGAACGTCTATCCCTATAAAGAAATTAGATCAAATAGAAATGACCCGAAATGGATGAATAATAGGTTGAAATATCTACTAGGGCATAAGAAAGGAATTTATAGGCGTATCAAAAGAGGCGAGGGTCATCTTATGAATCAGTATATGACATTAAGAGGGACATTAAAAAGGGGAAAAGAAAAGAAAAAAGGGACTATGAAATTAAAGTTGCTAGGGATTCTAAAACTAACCAAAAATTTTTTTTCCAGGAATATAGACAAAATGGAGAAAAAGATGGGCCCCCCTTTAAAAAAACTAGGAACTTACGAAAAAGAGAAGAAATGTGTCGTTTTAAATAATATTTTCTCTCGGTTTTTACACAGGAAGACACAAATAATATTCCGGAAATTAAATTTTTTAGGGGCCCCAGAAAAGATAATTATGAAACATCACGAACTGTGAAATGGTTGTGAAGCAAGGATAGACCGACTGAAGAAAAAATAAGTACCGGGCCCTGAAGAGGTTTTTAAAGGGTTCTTAAGGAATGCAAATGGAAGTCTGTAACCTTTAACAAATATTTTTAAATTTATTCTTCAAACAGGTTAGTGTCTGATATGTGGAAGATGGCTAATGTAATTCCTATTTTTAAAACAGGGGCAATCGTTACCGTCAAATTACCGCCTAATAACCTGACCTCAATGTAGGAAAAATTACTAGAGTCAATTTTAGCTCAGATTATAAGAACCCATTCGTAAGCATAGCTTTTTAATGATACTCAGCATGGATTCACAAGAGGCCGGTTTGCAACTAATTTTAATTTTTCAGTAAAGCTTTTAGGCAGTTGACCGACAAAGAATTTGATATTATTTACTTAGATTTTTGTAAGGCATTTGATAGAGTTTTTCCCCACCAAAAAACTGTTAAAAAAAAGTGCGCTCGGGGTTGGGGGAAGGGTGCTCTCGTGGATTTAATCATGGCTAAGCAGGAACAGAGAGTGTCCATAAATGGGGGTTTAAAACCGAGTGGGATCAGTAAAAAGTGGTTCCACAGGGATCAGCTTGGGCCCCTTGTTGTTTTAAATTATATCAATGATCTTGATGGGGAAATTTCTAGTGATATGAGCAAATTCGCCCCATGACACAAAGATAGGTGGATAATGATTCAAATAGTGTTAGGGAACTTCAGGGGGATTTAGACAAACCCACTCTTGGTCAGAAAAAGGGGGCCCCGTGCAGTTCAAGTAGTAAATGCAAGGTTCTGAAGCTCGGGGGGTCATACCCGCTTATAAGTTAAATAATGTAGAAATTAGCCATACAGAATGCGAAAAGGATTTGGGGGTTTTTGGGAAGCAGCAACCTTAAACCAAAACACAAAGCCTGGCGTCGTAATAAGGAAATAGATTACTGGGGTTATATCAAAAAGTGTAAGCAAAAGAAGTCCCAAAGGGCATACTGCAGCTTTATACTCATTTTTAAAGGCCCCACTAGATTATGCGCTCAATTTGGTCTCCATTACAGAAGGACCCTAAATTGTTTTGAAAAAATTCAGGTGGATGACTAAAAAAAAAACTTGTATTAGAAAACTTCCTTGGGAAAAATAAAAACAAAAAGCATTTAATGTGATCCTTTATTACAAGTTTTTTCCCCCCAAGTGGGCTTTTTTAAGCACACACGGATCTACCTGGGTTGGAAGGTACGAGAGTATTTTTAGTCTTTTTCAGAAAAGTTGAGGTCAGGTGAAAAAAGTTGAAGGTCTTAAGTTACATTCATTGTTAGCGAAGAATGAGGGGAGACCTGATCGAAGTGTATAAGTGGAAGATAGGTATTAATAAAGGGATATTAATAAGGTCTTGAGGATATCTCTCCAAGAGAGAACCCGCAGTAATGGATTTAAATTAGATAAGCTTAGATTTAGAAAGGACATAGGAAAGTATTGGTTTGGAAATAGGGTAGTTGATGAGTGGAACAGTTTATCTAGTTGGGTTATTGAGGCTAGGACTTTAGGTAGTTTCAAATTTAGGTTGGATAAGTACATGAGTGGGAGGGGTTGGATTTGAGTGGGACTTGCACATCAGAGCTTATTTCTTGGATAGCATTGAAAATTGGATTGGTCAAATGTTTTGTTAGTGGGATGAATTGTAAAGGACCTGCCTAGTATGGGCCAACAGGCCTGCTGCAGTGTTCCTCCTTTCTAATGTTCTTATGCTCTTCCGGTGACTTCTTACGATCTTGCCGATAATCCTTTAGCAGTAAATTTCATGAGATTAGACGTAGAGTGATTAAAGTCTTCATTTCCGGTATGGCACTTGGTTCACTGTTCCTTAGTACTACTTTTCAATTTAGTGAAGATCCTTAAGACAAGGTAAGTGACAATGTGTATTTTCCTACTGGATTAGATTCGTCTTTCAGTTCAGTTGACAGTTCCTGCGGTGTCTTCCTTCTAAGCGTGCAGCGTTTGTATTTAACGGTTTTATTAACTATTCCTCATGATTTTACTAGGCACTTGTCCTTGGACAATTTAAAATGTTCGAATAAAAGGTAATTAGTGGTTGTTATTGTAGTCTCACCAGATGTAGATGGGTCTTCTGATACTGGCGACACTGTAGTGCTGTTACCGGAGGTCTTTGTCGTGGGATGGACGCTGGAGGTCGTAGCAGTGAGCTGCCTGCAGGAGGCTGCACTTGTTGAAGAGGCAACTAGTTTGTGGGTCATGAGATTGTCAGTTATCACGATGAGGTTTGGATCGAGAAAGCTTTGACCGTGGCGTCAGCAGAGCTAGCTGAAAGAGCTTCGTCAGGAGGGTTTTTCCCAGAGGTTGTTGCTCAGAAACACTAGTGATTCCACTGGGCGGTATAACCGAAGTGTGTCGGTCCGTACAGTGTACTGCCGAGACAGTGGCAGCCAGACAGGCAACAACTTCTAAACGATTAGGAACGTGAATAACCATTTAATGCCGCTTTCAGTTTATCAAGGCTGATACCCGAGAAATACTGCTTTATTTCAAGAAAAGTTTTGTAGTGGTTGAGAGTACAAGGAGATATCGCTACCAGCAATATTCTCAGCGATATGAGTGTTGTTTTAATTTGCCAGTCTGCTTTGGACTGGTGTGATGATGATGATGATGATGATGATAATAATAATAATAATAATAATAATAATAATAGGCTACGTTCTTTCTCCCAGGGAACAGGTGGGTGGCTGGAGAAGTACCATGTGGACAGTACGTGGGTGAACCTTCAACTAGTGGATGCCAACGATAACTCACCCACCTTCACCCAGGACCAGGCTCACCTGACACTACCAGAGGACACACCTACTGGCACCCACCTCGTCACCTTCACCGCCCATGACATTGATGGGGTAAGAGAGAGAGAAAAAAAATAATGAATGAAGGTAACATTTACCGTTGATGCAGCATAAACACAAACATCGCAAGCAACACAGTAACGTCAAAAAAATGCTGCATGTTTAACGAGGTAACTGCTCAACAACAACACAACATTTGCAACACAAACACCTGCAACAGAACACCTGCAACAAAAACACTCAAAACGCAACGGAAGATTGAGGTAATATTGTTCTTTTTCCTCTCATTTCCATTGATGGATGGAAGAGGGGGAAGAGGATTGTATGAAGGTTCCAAAAACAATGACTTGAAGTATGTGATGCTATCTGGTGTGTGTGTGTGTACATTCACCTATTTGTACTCACCTATTTGTGGTTGCAGGGGTCGAGTCCTAGCTCCTGGTCCCGCCTCTTCACCGGTTGCTACTGGGTCCTCTCTCTCCCCGCTCCATGAGCTTTATACATACCTAGTCTTAAAACTGTGTATGGTTCCTGCCTCCACTACGTCATTTTCTATGCTATTCCACTGCCTGACAACTCTATGACTGAAGAAATACTTCCTAATATCTCTCTGACTCATCTGTGTCTTCAACTTCCAATTGTGACCTCTTGTTTCTGTGTCCCCTCCCTGGAGCATCCTGTCTTTGTCCACCTTGTCTATTCCGCGCAGTATTTTATACGTCGTTATCATGTCTCCCCTGACCCTCCTGTCCTCTAGTGTCGTCAGGCAGATTTCCCTTAACCTTTCTTCATAAGACATACCCCTTAGCTCTGGAACTAATCTTGTCGCAAACCTTTGCACTTTCTCTAGTTTCTTGACATGCTTTATCAAGTGCGGGTTCCAAACAGGTGCTGCATACTCCAGTGTGGGCCTGACGTACACGGTGTACAGTGTCTTGAACGATTCCTTATTAAGGTATCGGAATGCTGTTCTCAGGTTTGCCAGGGCGCCATATGCTGCAGCAGTTACCTGGTTGATGTGTGCTTCCGGAGACATGCTCGGTGTTATACTCACTCCAAGATCTTTCTCCTTGAGCGAGATTTGCAGTCTTTGGCCACCTAGCTTATACTCTGTCTGCGGTCTTCTTTGCCCTTTCCCTATCTTCATGACTTTGCATTTGGCGGGATTAAATTCGAGAAGCCAGTTGCTGGACCAGGTGTCCAATCTATCTAGGTCTCTTTGAAGTCCTGCCCGGTCCTCCTCTGATTTAATTCTCCTCATTAACTTCACATCGTCTGTGAACAGGGACGCTTCTGAGTCTAACCCTTCCATCATGTCGTTCACATATACCAAAAATAACATTGGTCCTAGGACCGACCCCTGTGGGACCCTGCTCGCTCGTCACAGGTGCCCATTGTGATACATCATTACGTACCATGACTCGTTGTTGCCTCCCTGTCAGGTATTCTCTGATCCATTGCAGTGCCCTTCCTGTTTTATGAGCGTGATCCTCTAGCTTCTGCACTAATCTCTTCTGAGGAACTGTGTCAAAGGCCTTCTTGCAGTCCAAGAAGATGCAATCAACCCACCCCTCTCTCTCGTGTCTTACTTCTGTTACTTTATCATAAAACTCCAGAAGGTTTGTGACACAGGATTTTCCTTCCATGAATCCATGCTGGTTGGCGTTTATACTCTTGTTCGGTTCCAGGTGCTCCACCACTCTCCTCCTGATAATCTTCTCCATAACTTTGCATTTTATACACGTCAGTGACACAGGTCTATAGTTTAGTGCCTCTTTTCTGTATCCTTTTTTAAAAATGGGGACTACATTTGCCGTCTTCCATACCTCAGGTAGTTGCCCAGTTTCCAGGGACGTGTTGAAGATTGTGGTAAGTGGTACACACAACATATCCGCTCCCTCTCTAAGGACCCACGGGGAGATGTTGTCCGGTCCCATTGCCTTTGAGGTATCGATGTCCCTTAGCAGTTTCTTCACCTCCTCCTCCTCATGTCATCCAACACTTATTGGTATATTCCTTGCTGGTGTTCCCATCTGATCTGTTCCCCGAGAGGCCTTCCTGTCTCCACTGTAAATACTTCCTTAAATCTCATGTTCAGCTCCTCACATACCTCTTGATCTTTTCTTGTGAGTTCTCCACCTTCTTTCCTCAGCCTTATCACCTGCTCTTTGACTGTTGTCTTTCTCCTAATGTGGCTATACAGCAGTTTCGGGTCAGACTTGACTTTCGATGCTATGTCGTTTTCATACTGTCGCTGGGCCTCCCTCCTCATCTGTGCATACTCGTTTCTGGCTCTTCTACTAATCTCCTTATTTTCCTGGGTCCTTTGCCTCCTGTACCTTTTCCATTCTCTGGTGCACTTAGTTTTTGCCTCCCTACACCTTCGGGTAAACCAAGGACTCGCTTTGGTCTTCCTATTATTTCTGTTTCCCTTGGGAACAAACCTTTACTCTGCCTCCTTGCACTTTGTTGCTACATATTCCATCATCTCGTTTACTGATTTTCCTACCAGGTCTCTGTCCCACTGAACCTCCTGCAGGAAGTTCCTCATACCTGTGTAGTCCCCCTTTTTGTAGTTTGGCTTTTCCCATTCAATTCCTGTTTCCTTCTCCACTTGTAACTCTACTATATAATCAAAAACTCAGAACCACGTGATCGCTAGCTCCAGGGGCCTCTCGTAAGTGATGTCCTCAATGTCCGAACTGCTCAGGGTTGAACACAAGATCCAGTCTTGCTGGCTCATCCTCCCCTCTCTCTGGTAGTTGTTCCCTGGCATGTTGATGAATGAGGTTTTCAAGTACCACATCCATCATCTTGGCTCTTCATGTTTCGGGACCCCCATGTGGCTCCAGGTTTTTCCAGTCGATCTCCCTGTGGTTGAAATCGCCCATTACCAGTGTAACTTTGCTCTGCTCGAGTGAGCTCTTCTTGCCACCTCAGCCAGTGTGTCCACCATCGCCTGTTGTTTTTCTTCGTACTCCCTCTCCTGGCCTCCTGCAGTTCTGTGGTGGGTTATACATCACTCCAATGACTACTTTATGTTCTCCAGATTGAATTGTACCTACTATGTAGTCTCTTTCTCCAATCACGTCCATGCCTTCCATTTCCTCAAATCCCCACTGTTTCTTAGAGCAGTGCAACTCTCCTCCCCCTCTACTCCTTCTATCTTTTTCTCAGATCTGATATCCCGGTGGGAAGATTGCATCTGTTATTGTCTCAGCGCATTTTGTTTCTGTGACTGCTATGATGTCTGGGGATTTCTCACTGATTCTTCGTGCCACTCCTCATTTTTATTCGTTATTCAGTCCGCGTTTG